TGAGAAGTTGGGCTGATTAAACCTAATTATAAGGGCTTATTTGTGTACCCGAAAGCCTACTTTGGCACCTGTGTGCGTTACGTTCAGTGTTAGTTTAGAAACAATGTTCAATCACCCATCCTTTCAGGTCCCATGTTGCAGTGTGGGTTACTAAATTCTAATCCTTATTGTACATCTCATGGAATTACATGAGTTTCCATGGAAAGCATATGCATTTAGACAGGGGGGGCTAGGATCCAAATCGCTACTTTAGCTTAGGTGTGCCCAGTGTGCCTTGAGACTCTTTTCCCTTTGGACAGACTACAATCCATATTACTAACTGCTTTCTGAAACTTCCCATACTTTCAGATGTTTCCCATGTACTGAGGGGTGATAGCTACAGTACAAAGCTCCTTTGGATCTGTGAAAGTAGTGTGTGATGCTTTGGATTCAGGCTCATGGTAGTTGTAATAATGTAGACCTAAAGCTTTGGGTTTTGTTTTAGCTCTCCATACATTACATGGGAAATATGTGTGCAGTGTGTACATTTGAACTAGGTCACATTAAAGCCTACCAGAATTCAGCATCTTTAAATTGAGATTCTGGTTTCCACAACAAAATAGAGGGCCTTTATAGAGTGTGAGATGTATGCAGAAAAGCATTCCTTATAAATGTGTAAAAACTTTGTTCCATAGTGTGGACACATCCTTCCTGACCAGGCCATGTGGAATACAGGTATAATCTTTCAGTGATACAGTTTGTATTAAATTATGAAACATAACAGGTGCACAATGTATATCTGCCCTTGTGAATCTGATGTCAGTGGTATCTATTAAAGTCTACACATAAATGGAGTTAATGTGGGCAATATGGAACTGATCATGCTGTATTTAGCGATACTGTTTGACCTAAATTATTTCCTGGGAATGTATGTACTTTGAGAACATACTAGATGTGCACATCTGTCTGCTACCAAGTATGAAACTTACTTTTTGTTAAATTTCCTGAGCTGACTTCCCTGATCTTTCATTTTATCCTTCATCCTGAATGTTACAAGGATCACTCTTGTTATGTTGCGATGTAAAGAACAGTGAACTAGAAGTTTAAGAATTTGTTCAGATTCTTCTTTTCATGCTGTTATATATGAAATCCTTTTTTATGGTCCCTATGCATGTTGAAACTCTCTTGTGCTGAAGAATGGCAAGCCCTCTGCTCTTAATTAATCTGCAAGACAAGAGGAAATACTCATTCCCACTTTGAGCTATGAAACAATTGCATTTTATTTTTATACTTGTAATTCTGGTTGTGGTAATTTCACTGCCACTAACTCATTGTGGATATTGTAGATATTCCCAGTCCTATATTTCAATACATGGATTTAAAACAATAAAGAGCTCTACTTTGGAAGTAGTAAATTTAACTGGTTTCTCAATTCAGTTTCTTCAAAAATTCAACATTGATTTGGCAGCAAAGTTGGAAAGTAATCACTTAATAGATTTGAATTGTTCTGTATTTAAGGCTTTAATTTTTCTCACGCTGCTGCTTAATTTTGACTGAAAGAGTGCCTGCATTTTTGCACAGTTGGATGTGTTGTTTTTAAAGCACTTTAGGATTCCACTGAACACAAACATGCCTCCTCTCTGTTGTTACATAGTCAAGAGTTTGAGTGTTGATGCAGTCTTGGACAAGCGCAGCACCTGCCCCCTGAAGGATCTCCGGAGCAAATGTAACATGATCTCCCATTCACCTCCAGTGAACAGGTGGGGCTGTATGGATTGGTACTCACTGGTCTGTTTCCTTTGCTCATCTTTGTTTGTCAAGGACAGCTTGATGCAAAATGGGCCGGTGGCGGGGGGGGGGGAGGCATACATACCAGTCCTGGTAACAGCCTTGAGTGTTAGCATCTATCCTCTGTTACAGCTTGATATCCTGTGCACTTCCTGTGAAAAGAGGGCAGTCAAACGAAGACTTTCATGCCTACAGGGGTCTTTCTGTGCTTTGGAATGCTTGTTGTGGTCTGTATTAAGATCTTTATGTCTAGGACTTTTTTTTAGGGAAGGAAGAGAAGACATTAATTATTTTAAAGTATTTCTGAAAGCTTCAGGCATACCTTTTTGGGGGCTGAAACTCAGTGTGCTAGGATGTTAGGTTATTTTTCTGAAACATAAAACTAAATTGTAGAATCCAGAAAATGGAGTGAAATTAGCATGCATGGAGGACTTAGTTGTGAGTTTCTCATATTAATTTCAATGGGACTGAAGTGCATTATACCTGTCTGTATTAGATGAGGCGCATCAGTGCTACCAGTTTAGATTTCCTTTGTTAGATTTCATTGTTTCCAATGAAGCTTTGGCTATGCATCTTCATTCAGCATTCAAGGTTTACAGTATACAAGTACCCCTGATTTTACACGTTATAGAGACAACCTGTGTCACACATAAATGAAAGGCAGGATACCATCTTTGAGAAGGCTTCCTCCTTTCAATAATTCTGCTCTCACAGGTGCATCTGAGTTTCTCAGGGGGTAGGGCTCTAGTGCTACAGAGTGCGTGCCTTAGACTGAAATACAGAAGACAGCTTGATCATATTTCTCCCATTCTTAATTAAGGTAAATGGTGCTTGTTAATGATGGCTATATTTGATTGCTGTAGAAGTGCACAAGGAGGAGTGAAGCTGTGTCTTTCTAGCTGTTTCATAGCAGATCCTACCATGAGGAGCTATATAATCTAGGAGAAAACAGCGGTGACTGCAAAACAAAAACACATGTGCACAAGTTTTTTAATGAATTTTGATGCCTAGATAACTTTTTCAGCAAGAGTTGGCATAGCAATATGATTGACATTTTTATATACATATATTTTTAATGGTGGTTGTTTTTATGTTTAACTATTGAAATTTTCCAGAGTGTTTAGTTTTTCTTTAAAAAATATATTATTGATTGTTCAGAAAGTGTAGGGTTGTTGTTGTTGTTTTAAATAAAAGGTTGCAGTCTATTTGAAGTCTTATTGGATACTGGATAAAATCATTTTTAGGGGCCAAATGTGACCGGTATATTCAGAAGTGTCATATATCTAAATTTTCATCAATGGAGTACTTAAAAAGTGGTAGGCAAAGCCATCCAGATCAGTAAACTGGTCTGAGGTTTTAGAGGATGTTTTGATTAGACTTCCACATATTTTTACCCTCTCTGAAAATAAAGTATGATGTAATAGAATACAGTTAAGATACGACAGATTTCTGGAATGCTTCAAGTGCTTTCTAAAGGTTGACTCCATACTGTTTTAGACTCCTTGTGCCAATTATAATCTGAAGTATTTGCAATGGTTTGCAAAATCCAGGAACCGGATACGTGTTAAGTGACACATTCAGTGCTAAGTGACCACTTCCTATGGATAAATTTTCTATCTAGAAAACCCAGATATGGCTATGAATTGAAAAGTAGTTAGGTGAACCAGTTTGAAGACCTGACATAATATAGAAATATTACCTAATTAGTTAAAGACACTAGGTGAGCTGTTGAGGGCTCTGCATTAAAATGTTAATTTTAACAGTGGCCTTAAATTGTTTCCTCTTGTCTTTAGTGGTATATTTTTTTTTCATAAGCATTCATTTTTACTGTATTATTTGTTCCCTGTAAAATGTGTGTTGCACTGTATGTGCCTCTGTTCCAATCATTATATATACAAATTGTCACAAAAATAGCATCAAACCCTAATACCTGTGTCATATTTGGAGTCTTAGACTGTCATTTCTATAACACAAATCCTTTGACATCTAAATGTATAGATTACATGAAGCAGCCTCCTAACAGAGACTCTATATATTATTCTAAATGCTTATGCAATAAGGACATGTTTTGTGGGAAATGAAAGTGAATTGTTTTATATCACAGTAATCTTTTTTTTAAAAGATCAGTTGCCACCCCCAACAGAAGTCAACTTTTGAAAATGTTATTGATAATAAATTCTTAAATGTACATTTTCAGTGTTATTTTAATTTGGGTTTTCATTTTTCCTGAATGGTCTTGCCTTATAACATCAATATTTTAAAAACTGTAAAAAAAATGAAATAAATGTTGACAAACAGCATATTCAAACTCTGGCTTATTGATCTCTGTGTATCAAAATAAACATTTTATTTTTAATTACAGGGGTAAGATATAGATAATCTTAGAAGCCATTTTTAGTTGAGTTCCTTTCAAGCATTATTTTTAAGTGGTGGGGAAATTCCTCTTCCTTGGTATGAATAACTTTTAGAATGCTCCTGGCATTCAGGAGGGGCAAAAAAATCTACAAATACCTCAGATGCTACTGCAAATATTTAGAGATACAGACTATGTGTTCTACAAATGATATTTCTTTACAGGTCCATGTTTTAAGTGCAGTGGTGCTTATTTTGTACTTAAAGCAGGCAAACTGACTTGAACATGTACAAAACACTCTCAGAATTATTACTGTTCATTTACTATCACAATAATCAAATCTCTTTGAAATACTAAAAAGGCTGGAAAGGGATATATAATTTGTTTCCACGTTTTTTAATGTTGTGAAAATTTTCTGGTTACACAGAGGTGATAGAAAATACACCATAATAGAGCTAGCAAAGTTAATAATAAAGTGGAAAATAATTAACATTCCATAAAATACAGTGGTGCCTCGCTTAACAGGCGCCCATTTAACGACGAAATCACATAGTGATGAAGATTTTGCTATCACTTTTGCAATCGCTTTGCGATGGTGTGAATGGGTTTTTTTCGCTTTGCGATGATCGGTTCCCTGTTTCGCTTACCGATCATCGCAAAGCGACGATTTTAAAACAGCTGATTGCTGGTTCCAAAATGGCCACCGGGTAAAAAAAATGGCCGCCCACTGTGTTTAGGGACAGATTACTCGCTTATCAGGCAGCAAAAATGGCCGCTGTATAGAGGATCTTCGATTAAAGGTCAGTTTTAAGCCCATAGGAATGCATTGAAGGGGTTTCAATGCATTCCTATAGGCTTTTTAAAATCGCATAGCAACGAAATAACTTAGCAGCGATTTTTGCTGCACCGATTAAAGTCGCTATGCGATGCACCACTGTATGCTAATACACTTAAGACACAGGATAGACTTTAGAGACTTTTGTAATGACTCTGTGAATTGACCCTTAATGTCATGAATTTTAACATCTCCCAATACTTTTTTCAAGATGCAGAGGATCCAGTGGATTTCATGATTGGATTCTATAAAATAAATTTTTGGAAAGGTACCATACTGTGTTAATACATTGTGCTGTGGAAACTACCTGGTTTTTCCATAGGTGATTCTTGGTGTAAAATTGACCTATTATGATGGTAAACCATTCCACTATCCCAGTTGATGCACTATGGGCAGCTAAATGATTCCTCTGTTGTGGTTCTGATTAGTAGCCGGGGCCCATTAGGGCACAGACTTCCACCATGAAGCTGCATGATCAGCTGTCCAACCCCTTTATATTTGGGGTTTGAAATAAACACTTAAGTGTCTTACACTGTTTTGGTACCTCATCTAATACTTGGATGTATCACAAACAGCTAGAAATAGATTCCCCCCTTCAGTGTGATTTTCAATATTTCATCTTCCTTTTTTTCTTCTGTAGTGGGACCTGTTCCAGCTTTATATTACCTGTTGGTTTACAACCTTAAATATACAGCTCTTGCCAGTTCTACATTTTTCTAGAACCTACTTCATTCTTGTTCTTCCTCTTGTATCAATATCTTTTCTCTTTATTATACAATACAGTACTACTGCTGGTATTATAAATCACTTCTTTACAATAAACAATCCCAATTAATATACAACCTATATTTAGCATTTGTTTTCTACAATATAATGGCCAGTATCCTTTTCATGTTCACATCAGATACACTTTGCCAGTGTAAACAATGAATTTCACTCTGCACCTTTGTAATCACTTGCACTTCGCTGGGATGACTGATAGCACATGCACTAGGATAAGAGTTTTGGGGATTGCACTTCTGCCTTGGTACTCATGCAGATACCACAGACACAACCTCAAGATGTGTGCACATAGTTGTGCAATAGGATTTTGGCCAACATTTAAATGTGCAAGACTTTGTATACTAAAAAGCAAAGGGATTTGCATCAGCATTATGTCTTCCAGCATTTTTGCCTTTTGTGTTTGAATTATAATGAGAAGGTGGTTGTTTATTTTCAGGTGCAATTAAGGCCAGGTAGAGCTTAAAAGCACTGGGTAATTTGCTCTGGTATCTTCGTTTCATTTGTTAGCTCTCCAAAAGTATTAAAAAACTCTTCCATTTCTTTCTGAAGTGCTTCATTCCTTCTCTCTGCATCTTCATATGCTCTCTCTGCATTGCGCATTTTAATTTCCACCAAACGAAACCACTTCCGTTGCTGACCCAGTTTTGAATGCAGATTCTTAATCTCTAACTGTAACTCATTGTTCTGTTGCTCCAGGCTGTTGGCATAAACACAGACAGTGCAGTTTTGCCCTTTGCGATCCTTGTTTTCTTGGCTTTATCTTTAAATAGTCATTTTTAACACTTTTCTGCTACTTTGACTTTAGCCTCCAACTCGGGACCCCACTACCCAGAGAAAGTAGTTAAGCACCTCTGACATGTCATAATCTTAAGCAGCTGCCTATGATCAGACCAATTTCTATATATTCCTGTCCCTTCTTGCAACCACCATTTTCACTTACTTGTTATTTACACAACTTACAGAAGCAAAATTGACATTCTGCTGATAGCTCAAATCTCACTGCAGTAGGACAGTCAGTTTCAGCAAGCTTTCTGCTGCCGCCTTTTGCCCAAGACCCCTTTCCCTCTTTTTATGTCATGGAAGCCAATCCCCTGAAACATGATATTCCAGACTGCTGTCCGCTGCATATACAGTGGTGCCCTGCTTGACGATTACCTCGTTAGATGAGGAAATCACTTAACGATGAAGTTTTTGTGATCGCTTTTGAGATCGTAAAATGATGTTTTAATTGCTTCATGATGATCGGTTCCCTGCTTCGGGAACCGATTTTTCGCTTAACGACAATCTTTACAGCTGATCGTCAGGCTTTCAGAATGGCCGCCCGCTGTGTAAAATGGCTCCCCGCTGTGTTTTAGGAAGGATTCCTCGCTTTACAGGTACCGGAAAATGGCTGCCCTTGGCTGGACGCTGAGGTATTTTGCCCATTGGAACGCATTGAACCAGTTTTCAATGCATTTCAATAGGATTTTTACTTTCGTTTGACGACGATTTCATTCTACAGCGATTTTGCTGGAACAGATTATCCTCGTCAAGCGAGGCACGATTATAAATTACATGCTGACATTTTTCAATTGTCATTTCTGGAGGAAAATATTAATGTACTCCTGCCTTTAGTGAGCACAATTTAATCACCATACTTGATCCTTTTAGAAGGCTTATTTAAAATTCTAGCAGATGGTCAAAGCAGGAGACATACTATTATTTGCATTCATAGTGGATTTTCAGTGTAAATTATTCAGTTTTAATCAAACAAGTTTGTAAGTGTGCCCAATATTTATGAGCCAATATCATTACTTGTCTTTTCATTGCACTAGCAACAGAAAGCCAAAGCAAAAGACCCAAATGCATATGTATCATAGAGTGAACTTTTACCTTGAAATTTTAGCTTCGTACTCTGCCTTCTGATGGGCCATCTGGTGCTTTAGACTTGCAAAGTGGTGTTCCAGGGAACTTGGACTTGTTGAGATGCTGTTGCTTGAAAGAGGACATTCATTGCAGTTGTTCATTTGGCCGGGTTCCAAGTGGTCCTGAAACTCCAAAGCGTATGTTATGGCCTTGTTAGTTTCTCCCAAATCTTCTGTGCTCTCAGTCCTGGTAAAGAGCTGTGAAACTAGATCCTCTTCAAACATCAAGTCCTCGGTGCAGTTCTTCCAAGAGATCTCAGTGCTATTATTTATATCCTTTAGGCTCACCAGACAAGTACATTCAGCTTAGTTTTCAGTGAGAAGTGGCTTTGATCTGTGTTTTGTTTCAGTTTGAAGGAGGAGGCTCCTCATCCTTGTTGCAGCTGTTTGAAACGTCTCAGATGCTTGGAAAGAATCCACTTTATCAGAGCCTGGGTCTTGTTTCATTTCCAGAGTCTGTTTTTGATATGGAACGGGGAACGCCCCAAAATGCCATGCTTCATAAGTCCTCTTCAAGTAAGGGCTTGTTTCTACCCACCAGAGACACTGCCTTCTTTATTTTTATCTATTTTTTTCTCTAACTGACACAGGAGGAAGAACACTATCTTGCCCATGATTTGCTAGTTGATAGCTTCTGCTGAAGTTTATGCAAAGCTGCTGTTTACTGTTTGGTCGCAAGAGCACAAAGGAAGCAAAATTTGAATGCTCGTCTCTTCAATGCTCAAGATCTTCTGTGTCTTTCATTCACACAAAAGTATGCTAAATTTGTACTGAATTTAATATTGTGGATTGGAATAATCTCATTATCAAGGCTAGCTAAAATTCCATAAGTGCTGAAGTGCTTCAAATTACTTAGAACTCTTCATCAGACAAAGTGATGTAAACAGTGAGTAGGAATTTTTTTTAAAAAAAAAAAATAACCAGCTGTTGTGGCTGTGATATCTCTTGTTAAACTCGGGAGCACGAACAATAGAATATGTGTAGGTTTTTGTGGGATTTTACTTGGTCCTAAGAAAAGTATTGCTTTGTGGATTTTGATTTTGTTCTTAAGTTTAGCACAACATTGTAACTTTTTAACAAAACAAAACAATGGAATTTAAAACAGAATAATAAGATGGACATGGTCTAGAGGGGCGGGGTAAAAATCAAATAAATAAATAAATAAATAAATAAATTCTTGAACAGTGTACAAAAGCAACATTTTCAAGTGTGCATTCTCTTATGCAAGAGCCAAACTTTCTGTGACCATTTTTCGTTGGGTTAATAAAAATGTTTTGCTTCTCCCTAATGTGGACCAGTGGCTCTTCACACATACAGTGTGTGTCTCTCTCTGTGTGTGAAAGAGGAGGCCTTGCAGGATTATATGAGAGGGACTGAAACTCAGCTAAGCACAGACACAGAACCTAAAAAAAGGGAGAGAAGAGTAGTTGAAATAGGAGACTCCCTACTGCATGGGATGGAAACTGAAGTATGCCGGAAAGATCCATGGACCCACCAAGTATTCTGTCTTCTTAGAGCACAGATTACGGATGTGACGGATTACTATCACTCATAATACCCACAGATAGATATCCTTTTCATTTCATCCATATGAAAAGAAAGAAATGACACAACCAAGATCAACTTTGAAGAGATCACATCAGACCTCAAAGCTCTGGGAAGGAAACTTAAGGACTTTGGAACCCAAATATAAATTGTTCAAAAAGAATAGAAAGGGAGGCGGAGTTGTATGTATGTCAAAAATACACATTCCTTCACAGAAATACAGGAGGAGGAGATTAGCTGTCCTATTGAGAGCATCTGGGTCAATGTAGTTGGGGCGAAAAACAAAAGGAACATGGTAGTTGGAGTCTACTAACGACCACCCAATCAAGAGTTTGTGGATGAAACTTTTGAAAAACAAATTGCAAGGATTTCAAATAGACATGATGTACTAGTGATGGAAGATTTCAGTTATCCTGATATATGTCAGGAGGCAAATTCTGTCAAGTATGGCCCTTCCAAGAAATTCATGGCTTGTGTAGCCGATAATTTTCTCCTACAAAAAGTAGAGAAAGAAACTAGAGGACTAGTTAATCCTTTACTTGATCCTAACCAATAGAGATTACTTGGTGTAAGAAGTGGCAGTAAGGGAAGTTTTGGGCAAGGGTAACTATGTTCTACTAGAATTCTTGATTTCAAAAGGAGCCAATGCAGAATGTAACCACACATATATGCTAGATTTTTTAAAAGCCAGTTTTAATGAACTCAGATAAAGGATATGTAATGGCAGGAGATCCTAACAAGAAAAGGAGTCTAAGAAGGGTAGGAGTTTCTTTAAAAAGGACATTCTAAAGGCACAACTACAAACAATTCCAACAAGAAAAAAAAGGTGGGAGAAGGCAAAAAAAAAAAAAAAAAGGCCAGTGTGCCTTCACAAGATGCTCAGGGAGGACCTGAAAACAAAACAAAAATGATACATATAGGAAGCTGAAAGAAGGCCAGGTCACAAAGGAGGAATACAGACAAATAGCAAGGAACTGCAGGGATGGCATTAGGAAGGCAAAAGCTGAGGATGAGCTGAGGTTAGCTAGAGACACTAAAAGCAACAAAAAAGCATTTTTCAGGTATGTCCATAGTAAAAGACAAGGAGAAGAAACAGTTGTTCAGCTACTCAATGGAGATGGAAAAATGAAAACAGAAGACAAAGAAAAGGCAGAAGTGTTCAATTCCTATGTTAGCTCAGTCCCCAAAGGACAGACTATGACCCTCCAGATAAATGTGAAGTGCAGATGGGGGGGGGACAAGATTGCAGCTGGATATTGATAAACAAATAGTCAATAATTTTTTATTATCGTGAATAAATTCAGATCTCCAGGACTGGATGATCTATACCCAAGAGTATTGAAGGAACTGCCAAAAGAACTCTCAGAACTGCTGTCCACTATTTTCTTGAAATCATGGGAAATGGGTGAGATGTCAAGATGACTGGAAGAGGGCTAATGTTGTTCCTATCTACAAAAAGAGCAAAAAGGAGAATCCAGGAGAGCAGTCAGCCTGCCATCAATCCTAGGGAAAATTCTGGAACAGATTATAAAGTGGCCACTATGCAAACACCTAGAAAACAATGCAGTCATAACTAGAAGCCAGCATGGATTTGTCAAGAACAAATGCTGTCAGACTAATCTAATCTCATTTTTTGATCAGGTAACCCTGATAGACAGAGGGGACACAGTAGACATCATATATCTTCAGAAAAGCTTTTGATCAAGCCACATGACATTCTGATTAGCAATCCAACTAGGTAGGGCTTGATAGAACAACTGTCAAGTGAATATATAGTTGGCTACAGAATCGTACTCGGAGGGTGATGATTAATGGCTCCTTCTCCAACTGAGAGGAGGTAACAAAGGCTCAGTCCTGGGCCCAGTGCTATTCAGTATTTTTATTAATGACTTGGATCATGAATGCTAATCATATTTGAGGATGACACAAAATTGGGTGGAACGGCTAACACCCTGGAAGACACAAACAAATTCAAAATGATCTAGATAGCTTGAGCACTGGGCTGAAAACAACAGAATGAAATTCAGCAGGGATAAATGCAAAATACTATAGGAAATAGAAACCAAACACAGTTGCAAGATGGTGAATAACTGGCTCAGCAATACTACAAGCGAAAAGGATCTTGGAGTCGTTGTAGATCAAAAGTTAAATATGAGCCAGCAGTGTGATGTGACTACAAAAAAGCCAAATGCTGTTTTAGGTTGCATTGACAGAAGTCTCCAAATCCCGTGAGTTACTAGTTCCTCTCTATTCAGCAGTGGTTCAGCCGCATCTTGAATATTGTGCCAGTGCTGGACACTGCACTTCAAGAACAATGCTGACACACTGGAACAAGTTCAGAAGAGGACAATGAAGATGATCCGGGGGCTGGAAACAAAGCCATATGAGGAAAGAATGAAAGAATTGTGCATATTGAGCCTTGAGAAAAGAAGACGTGGGGAGATGTGATAGCATTTTTCAAATACTTGAAAGGCTGTAATACAGAGGAGGGGCAGGATCTGTTCTCAATGATCCCATGCAAGGACAAGCAACAATGGGCTCAAGTTACAGGAAGTCAAATTCGAGTTGAATATCAGGAAAAACTTCCTGTTAGAGCAGTACAACAGTGGAAACAATTACCTTGAAAGGTGGTGAGTGCTGCAAGACTGGAGGCATTCAACAGAAATTTAGACAACCACCTGTCAGATGTCCTTTGATTTGTATTCCTGCACTGAGTAGGGGGTCGCAGTAGGCCCCTTCCAACTTCATGATTCTATAATTTCTATTATCTATGACAGGGGTCATCAACCTCCAGTCCGCACCCCGGTGCCAGTCTGTGGGCTTGCCGGAACTGAGCCGCAGATACAGATCTCCGCCGCCCCCACACGCACACGCGGTGGGCATGTCATGTTTGTGCAAGGGCGTGTTGTGCATGCACACTAGCACGACACACCCACCGTGCAAGCACAACACACCCACTGCACTTGCACGGGGTGCCCCCGTGCATGGAGCTCACTCCCCCCATCCGGTTCGCAGCCCCAAAAAGGTTGGGGTCTACTGATCTATGATACACACACACACTGCAGTAAATTCTCGACTACAGCTCCCCACTACCTTAAATGAAATTTCATATTGAAGGTTCCTGTGTCACCAAGCCTACAAATCCATCTGCTAGAGCTGTAGAACTGTCAAGAGCTCACCAATATGTAGAGAGGCACCTATAAATAGTTTCAAAAGTCACAGGAAATTCAAATACCTTATGACATGGTGGAGCCTTTATTTTTGCTATCATATCACACACATATGCAGTTCAGTCTTTGGATATAGTACCATCTGTTTCAGGCTTATTGTAGTTTAAGCTTGCAGAAAGGAAGTCGTACTTCTGTCTTCTGAAGCGAAGTTGCCCTCCTTGAAGTTTTCTTTCATAGTTTATTCCACCTTTTTAGTGGTATCTTGCTTTCTTTCTATGTAGGTTGATTGCCTAGTAGTTCCATCCTGATTCTCATCAATTGCATTTGAAGCCAGTTTTTTCAAATACATAACTTTACAGCTATCTTAATATGTAATGTGTCAGTCTCTGTTCTAAGAAGAATAAAAGGGGCCCTGCTGGGCACACCAAGACATATTGTGAGCTTTCCTGGGCACAAGAGTACAGAATTATATTTCTCCCTGCCCCTGCTACCTGGTTACTGGTGAACATGGATGCATTGATGAACTGCAAAAAAGGAAACAAAATGGTACACATATAAAGCTCTACTTTTGTCTAGAGTCTCTTGGATGTCTCTTTCGTGCTTACCAAAATGCACAAGTATGTCATGCAGTGGTAAAACCACAAGAAAACTAAAAAAGCATCCCAGTGCAAGCATGACACATACTAGCAAATAGTAATTATGTTAGCAAATACTGTAGCTGATATCCTCAATTCATGCATATGTGGGAGTACCAAGCATTTTTTATAATGCCTTCACACCCCTTGTCTCTGAGGCTCTATCTAAAGTGATGGAAAGTGCCAGCCCACGTACAATGC